TGTCCCGTTCATTGTCATTTTGACTAACCTTATCAGTTTACTTGGTAGTCCCAGCAGTCTCATAGCTTCATATAATTTTTCTCTGTCAATGGAATCATACGCTTGCTTGAAATCAATAAATAATGCGTGTAAACCAAGATTTTGTTCATAGCTATTATAGAACAGCTGTTTCATTGTAAATATTTGGTCTATTGTGGACCTGCCCCTTCTAAAACCTCCTTGATATTCACCTATAACCTCATTTTCATATATGCTCAATCTGTCCCTTAGTTGAAATGCTAGTATCTTATATGCAGTGTCTAACAGGGCAATGCCTCTATAGTTTTCACATGAACTTTTATCACCTTTTTTGTGTATTAGGCAGATTACGGCGTTTTTCCATTCATCTGGTAGTTCCTCTTGATTCCATATATATCTGATCAGACTTCCAAGTCGCTTGTGTAAATCTTGTCCACCCGCTTTTATTATTTCTGCTGTGATTCCATTTTCTCCTGGACTCTTATTGTATTTTAATCTTCCTATTGTTTCCTCTATTTCCAGATCCGTTGGTTCATGTATTTGTCCCTGATTGTCATCTTCGATTAGTGGTGCTGCTTCCGTGTTCCTTTCCTCTTCGTCTGATAGCTTTAACAGTTCCTCAAAATGTTTGGCCCACCTTTCTAATTTTCCTGGAATGTCACCAATTAACGACCCATCTTTGTCTTTATAGAAGCAAGAAGACCTTTGACTACCCAATTTGCTTCTTCTTACATCCTGATAAAAGTTCTTAATGTTTTTGTTGATCATGTGATTTTCTATCATTTTCAAGCCCATTTCCCAGTATTCGCGCTTTTTCTTTCTACACATCTCTTTCACTTTTCGTTTGGCTTGCTCATATCTTTTCCTTGACTCTGTTGTTCTAGATACATCCATTTGTATTTTTGCTTTCTGTCTTTGTTCCAATTCCCGTTTACAGTCATCATCGAACCACTCTTTGTTTTTTCTAGTACTCGTTTTTCTCATCATCTGTTCTGCTACATTAGTGATTATTGCTTGGATATTATTCCATTCCTGATTAATATCCTGCACAACTGGTGTGTTTTGCAGTCCTGTTGCTATTGCTTGTTCAAGTTGCTGTCTAACTGACGTATCTTCTAGCGCTTTTGTTTCGTACCTTTTGATTGTCTTCTGTCTCTCTAACTGTTTCTTCGGGATTTCTTGTTTTATAACAGCTACTACCATAAAGTGATCCGTATCACTATCTGCACCACGGTAACTTCTAACATTGTGTATATTGCAGGCATGCTTGTTTTCGATCAGTACGTGGTCAATTTGATTGGCAGTATTACCACCTGGTGAGATCCATGTTGTCTTGTGGATATCTTTCCTGTCAAAATAAGTGCTCATTATCTTGAAATTTTGTACAATTGCAAAGTTAATCAGGAGTTGCCATTTTAATTTGAGAGTTCATGTTTGCTTTTCCCTCCTGTAACGTTTCGATAAGTGTCTTCACGCCCAACTTTTGCATTGCAGTCTCCTAATATTATTTTGATATCATATTTTGGTAGACTATTTATCACGTCATCTAACTGTTGATAAAAGTCTGTTTTGATATCCATATCCTTGTCTTCACTTGGGGCATGTACATTGATCATTGTTACTTTACTGTACTTTCCTCTCAGGCGTAGATAACATACGATTTAATAAAGATAACTAAAAATAAAAAAGCAACGCACTATTTTAAGCAAAAACATATCCAGATAAAAAATGCGTGCCTGACATACTGACTGCCAATTTTTTTAATGTTTGGAGTATAACTTGATACCGCCATTCGAATACAAATGTTCATCTGTAAGTCGATTACGGTATTTGTTTTTAATAAACTTCATATTTGAAAAAGAAGATTCACACAAATAGGTTGAACTAAATGACGCTTTCGCTTTCAAGGCAACACGACATAAAACTGAATATTTATCTTTACAATCACTTCCATTTACGTCGCAGCGATGTCTTCGCTAAAATTCTGCGTAACAGAAGTTGCAAGCTGTTGGATATCAATTTCCATGTTGGGTGAAACAACAAATTGCGCCACTGTAGCAATTTCGTTAAAATGATTTTTGAAGTTATCCTTCAAGTTAGAGAATATTTCTACATGATATTTACTGTCTAATGATTCTAATGGACTTTGAGATATCTTTTCTGAAAGAACAGGAAAATGCCTGGTATCGCCATCGATCCCAAAATTCAAGCTTTTTGGTAAACGCTTTTATATCAATCATTTCTGCTAGTTCTTTTTCTCTCCCCTGAAGCTGCAAATTAAGTTCATTTAATTTTTCTGTAATATCCACAAGAAAACCTAAATCTCTTAGCCAGATTGAATTTTTCAGTTCCGGAATCGGTTCATCACGTTGTTTGAAAAATGGAACTATGCCAGATATAATATCATTAAAACGTTCCAGCAGTCATCCCCTACTTAACCATCAGACTTCAAAGTGAAGAAGTAGTTCCCCGTATTGACAGTTAATTTCATCGGCCAAGGTTTTGAATAATCTTCTTTGTAACCAATTTCATAGCGTTGAAAATGTCCACGTAATGCTTGCTGATAGATAATGCAGTGATAACAGAGAAATTTCCGAAAACTTTCATCTCTACGACATAACCCCACGAGACCCTTATCACGACCCACCTTAGCTGGAGCGGCATCGGTTGTCAATCCTACCATTTTCGGTTTTTATAATTTTCTCAGAAAATATAATATTTTTAAAAGAGGAAAACAGGTCCTGCACATTAGTCTCTGTCCTTTTAGTGGAATAAACTTCAAAATATCTTCTTTAATCGTAAAACCACTAAAAACCATCCTGACGAACACGGCCATCTGACAGGTGTCAACTACATCTGTGGATTCATCCAGCTGCAATGAAAAATATGCACCGTAATCGAAGTCATTTCTTAAGTGTAAAACTATATCATTGCTCATTACTGTATTATCAGAAAGTTGCATAGATTTTATAGCAGACTCTATCTCGTCTTTATTTCTAAAGTTGGCAAACAATGAATCTGCAGCTTCTAGAAACGCCTGTTTTATCATTTCCCCGTCTTCATAAGCTTTCTTATTTTGTGTAATTATCTAGGACACCCGGTATGGTGCTTCAGTTGCAGCCTTGCTTTTGTCGATTGTTTCTAGAAACAATGTCTGATGTCCAATTAACTGATTTTTTAGTTGCTTGGAATGTACATAGCCCAGATAAATAGCCAAAACTGCCGCAAAAGTGATAACATAGCCACAAAGTTATGTCCGCTGGCGTACTGGCGTAATAAAGACTTGCGAATATTGTCGTAAGAGTTTGGTTTTCCGGAAACCAACCGTTTTCTATAAAACCCAAAAAACCTCTTTTTCGCTGATGTTTGGGCCATCAAAAAAGGCCTCTGCAAATGTTTGCTAAATTGCTTATTTTTCGCGCTACAGTTTGCTGATAGCTTGTTGGCGGTGGGCTTGTGGGAGCAAGGGCGAGCGTACACATATCACCAGCCGCCATTGACGCGGACGATCCTCTTTTAATATTTCGACGTCCTCAGTGACTCACTCTGAGTGATAGGCCAGTCGATTTCAAATAATAAGCTCGTTTGTAGTTGTGGCGTGAACGCCGTCGGTGAACCGACGAATGCATATTAATGAATTTTTTAAATTTATGCGTTTAAGTAGAGTACAAGATGCAGTAATTTCTCTTCAGCCGCTTACCGATTGACTGGATAAGTGTGGTATAGTATTTTCATTTAGAAGTGGAACAACGACAAAAAACCTAGAGCTGCAGAAAAGGTGTGAACGTGTATATAAATGAGTGGCAATGGTAATAATACATTCCAGGATGTAGAAGCCCAATGAGTCATCAAAATACTCGTTTTCGAGGCTGCACACTATTTTCATAATCATCCTCGCAAATCAGTTTGATCACCGGTAGTTCTTGATCTACGACCATGATAAGAGATTCAGCAGTTCTTGAGCCGCGTCTATACGTTGGGGTAACATACGTCAACGCATATATGTAAAGAATAGACAATGGCCGATGGTGATGAGCATTTGACGATGTCTTGTCTGCACACTCGCTGAGGAAACGTCGGTGAACGCCAAACTGACAAACGAGCTGAGGGTTCGAAATTCCATTGAGATCGTTCCCGAACAGATCGCTCACCGCAGTGTTACCGCTGCTTGTGTTTATTATGAGAATTTAGAAAATTTACGGAAGCTGCAATGATTTTCACACCTTTTTTAAAATATGTTGTGAGCCACCAGAATTGACTTTGCGAGCTACCGATGGGTTGGCGACCACTGCTTTAGAAGCTCGCTAGTCTCTAATTATGCATCTCTCCATCACTTTACTTTGAAAGCAGATTTAAAGGCCTGTAGTCTAAGAGTCGGCATTAGATCTCCTTTTTGGGATGAGTGCCGGATCGTAACCTAAAGACTTTCCTAAGATTAGTCACGTTACCAACGTTTCCTCTAATTCAGATTTTTGATCATTTTTATACATTCATTATAAAACACTTTTGACTACTGATTTCCAAAATATTATAACGAGACTTTTTGGAATGTTATTTATCACATTGTTTTTGTTCGACTTTTTCTTTAAACGCGAATCAACATTAGATTCATAAACAAATCACTTCGAGGCCCAAAGGTACGCTTTTCCATAAATGAGACGCGTTTCCAGAAAATCTTTCGCCAGTTTGTGAAACTAGACATATACTGAAAGATATAATTTGCTTAAATAAAATATTATTTTGATATATCCTGTACAACAGGTCAAACGGTGGCCATCATCAAAAAATTAAATATGCATTATGCAAAAAATCATCAAAATGGAGTTGTAATCATGACGTTCCGAAATTGACCAAAATTTTTCGAATTGCATTTATTTTGTTCCTGAATGTGTTTTGACCAGGTTTTTGGACTTTTTTTACCACTGTCCGCAGGCAGTTTAAATGGCTACCCAATACCTGATCAGTGTTAATTACAATAACAGGTGGAAGACAAAGCTGAAGTGAAGCCAGATGACTCCGAATCCATAGACAGCAAAAAGCAAGAGGACAGTCTGAATTCGGATGGTCCATTTTTCGAAGACGAAGGCCGTTTCACGCTGGGTGGAGAAATGTGCAGCTCTTTGAGTGAACCTCCTCCGGAGATGTTTGATATTCCCGAAGTAAATACCAGCTTCAGCAGACGACTGAGAAACAATGTATGTTCGATCAGCAATGTAAGAACTTACAACAACAAAAACCATTTGAATATCGTTAATCAGCGGGTTGACTGTAAATTTTAAAAAAATACAGGTGTTTCAAATTCGGCTGTCACCATGGCGATATCGGAAACTGTAAGAGACACGTCGATCAAATTCAGGCAAAGCTATGGATTTAGGTAAAAAGAATCACTTAGAAATCCGATTATTTCCGGACAAATAAAAAACGTTCCGGAGATATACAGAAAACGAATTTTCGACAAATCGTTTGCAATTTTCTCTAAGTTTAAGATAGTAATTCAAAATAAATTACATGTTAACATTTTCACATTTTTTCTCTACCGTCCCCAATGCGAAACTATATTTTTTTCTTATGGACGCCATACTGGATCGTTGCACAGATGGATAAAGTTTTCAATTCTGATTTCAAAAATATACGTTAACATAATTATAAAAAAATGGAATTTCTTAAAAGCATTTTTTAGTTTTAAAAACAGAGCACAGTCCCTATTTCCGATTTTATTGTACATTTATTTTGACATGTATATAAAATGCTTAAAAAAGTAATGGTCGATGTAGCGGCTTGGTAAATACATTTCATACTGTTCATATCTATACAATGTTTATATATTTTAGAAACTGCATTTGAAAAGTTTTGCAGCTCCAAGTGTCTCCAGAGATGCACGGAAAATGGAACGAATTTTTCCAAAATCGATTCTATTTTTTTCTGATTTTTTTTGCAAATAGGATTTTAAAGTAAACTGCAAATTAGTAGTAGTAGTAGTAGTTGTGGTGGTGGGGAGGCGAAGCGTGGCAACTAGGCCACCTTTGACCCTTTTTTGTCGGTCCCGTAGTACCAACACTGTACTAGTCCACTAGCCTTCTATTGGTAACTCGTATAATAAACCTGTTAATATTGCACTCATGTGTGTGATATAGGCAACACAACAGTGATGCCAGTGAATTAACTTCCGAGGCTGAGATTCGAACCCGCGAGTTCCAAATTGCACATTAACATTGCCACTTTTTGATCTAGAAATAGAACATTAATATAATCGTTGGTCTCAATCAATCTATATCAACTTCGATTTTTATTTTATTATTATAGCATCTCATACTATATTATCAAAAAGTTTCCCTGAGTAAGCTTTGAAATTATCATATAATTATTTATTGCATAAAATATCAAAGATGATATAGACATGTTAGGCGTTGATATAAAATTTCAAGTCCCTAACTTCATATAGTTGGTTTAAATTCGTCGAATGAGGAACAACATAACGTAACTAATTCATATTAGTTAAGAGTAATTATGAAATCATTGATACATGGAATAATTAGTGATTTAATTGTTTGATTTGTTTGAAATTTGTAGACGATGAGGATGTTTGAAAAGTTTTGTTTTGGACTTTAGCCAGGAAAAAATAAAAACGAGTAAATTCGGTACTACTTTGGATTTCCAAACTGTTCAAGTTCCATTTTTTATTCACCCTTTGCCCCATAAAGTACTCCGTTTCGTTTAGGCGATAGTCACAAGATCAGTATTTACTGTGATCCGTCAATATATTTTTCACGAGATGTGATATTTATCGACCCTACTGTCAGGACGTCAGTAATTTATTGATGCAAAATGTTGCGTAGAAATCCACTGATGGTACACGGACCACAGTAAATACTGATCGTGTGACATTTGTTTTACCATTTCCGAGATCCCAAAGGCAAGACTCGAATTTGAAACACACCTACCACATACAGGTTGTTTCAGAAATACGTGTCAATATTTCTAGGATAGAAAGCACATCCATCAAAAAAAAGTTCCTATAAATATGGGTCCAAAGATGCTCGCCTACCGAGATACAGAGCTTCCCGGCCCAAACTAAACCAAGGACTTTGAAATTGGGTACCTGGACCCCTAATAGAAAATATTTTCTACGCCTCTGGCCTTTCCGGAGAAAATAGGTGCAGTTTAAAGGTAAAATCCTAAAACTTATGGCTTGTGAAGAAAACTACGCCACCTTATTACAAGAATAATTAAATAATATCTGTGTTTTATCCTCAATCAGTAGCGTAGAAGCATACCATCCATTAAACCTTGTATATCTGAACACCAGAGCCAGACTATGCTAAGTTAAAAAAGCTGAATTTGCAGGAAAGAAGGTTAAAGGATTTTTCACTGAATCCTTGATTGTAAAATTTTTATAATTTCCGTAATCTTTTTGAAAATTCCGGTAAATAATTTATTTTGGTAGAAAGTATTAATTAGGTAAATGTTAAGATGGGCTTAGGTTAACATTTTTGTTATTAATGGACTTAACATACTTTAGCAGTAATTAAAATGATTATATTTGGACATGACACTAAAATATGTGCTAACCGGTCTTGGCATATTTAGGAAAACTAAATAAATTACAAGTAAAGCATTTTTGCAAAAAAATCATATATTTTGTGAAATATGCACAAATAGAGGTTAAAAACAACGTATTCTTATCTACAAATATTTACAAATATCATTAAATTCAACTTAAAAACGTACTCTAAAATGACTACACTATACAAGAAAAATGTACATACTTTAAACTATTTACAAAAAGAATACAAAACTAATTATTTATTACTCAGTCTCACAACTTGTATGATTTAAGTTGCTGTAAAAATCATGAAATCTGCGAAGAACCCATTGCAACAGTTTCTGGAGGTGTTGATATTTCTTTGTTGAAATTTGTTTGGGCCTCTGTCTAATTGGGCTTAAAAATTCTGGGACACCAAGTGATCGATGGCTTTTTTGATTTAAGTCTACTGTGAAAAAAGTGTTTTGTTCGAAATTTGTTTTGTAAAATAAAATACCTGAATTTACTTTTCTAACCTGCAGGTGTACGGTATTTGAAATAAGAAAGTCGGACCCTTCCACAATTTTTTTATGAGACAAAAAGCGTTGTTGAACCTTCAAATAGTCCTTTAAAATCCATGAAATCGTCTGCTGTCATATCAATGGCATTATGTTTCATTTTCGTACCACATATGCGGATTACCTGTTGCCAGTCCCAAGGTGTTTAAGCTGACTTAATTTCTTTCTTTAGCTTTCAATGATCACCGTCAGCCTTTAAGCAAGTATGTCCTCGTACAAGAAATGTTTGGTTAATATTTTTAATTTTAACCTCCAGAAGTAGGACATGACAACAAGTATGTTCCGGTTCTGAGAAGGGCAATTAATTATCAGACCAAAGTGTGAGGATTTCTATATTTTCTGAAATACTCGTTTGTACCCACTTTAATAGGCAGAAAGCAACCTCAAAATTAAATGTTTCAGTATAACCACTCTTTGGATATCTTGTCTGCTGGCATAATCGACTCTGCATTCTTCTAAATAAAGATTGTACATGCGAGAGATATCTGAGAGATTCCCTGGATATTTTCTCTTACTTTTTTCACGGCAATAATGTGATTTGTGAGCTGGGAATTTTGATGTGAGTCTTACGCCATTTCTAACATCTTCATTCATTTTATTTTCCGGTGTATGTCTTCCCCTTTTGTCTGAGGTTAAAACTTCGCCATCCCTTTTTTTAAGAATTGCAGTATCAACGGTTTGGTGAGAAATACCTAATGTATCTAGGAAAAATAATTTATCAACTTCAAAAAAAATATTGGTTCATATGCTTTCTCTGGCCTGATTTTGTACCTGTCCGTTCTCGAATTCTTTTTATCTGCATTTGTTCAACGTGTGAAGCAATAAATTGCCTTCTCGCTGCGAAAGTATTTTTACCACTCCAAAGTTGTTCATTAATATCTAGACGTTTTTGTGGTGGAATATTATTTTTGCAAGCATATCTGCTCTTATCAGCATATGTAATTTTTTTCATTATCTTGATTGCAATAATTGCCGCCACTATCTCTGGCTGAAAGTTTTGCCAGAGAAACAATCATTTTTGGCTGCTTCCAAACATTATACTGCTCGGTTTTACTTTTAATCTTAAACAATAACTAATGCACATAATGCAATGAGTATAATTACTTCAGTGACTGGATCGTAACTTAACAGTCACGGTTCAGTCTGGCACTTGAAACGCACGCCACGCCGTGTCGTTGGAAGCAAACTGTGCTAAGTGGACTTGGACTATTTTAGCTCGGTTTTGGGGTCGGACTTAGCTTATAATTTCAAAAGCTAACTTGAAAACTATAATAGCTACTGAAACACCGAAAATATCATCGTATTCTTAATGAATTGAACAAAATCGCGCTAATAGCTCATTTTTTGAAAAATGGACTTAGCATAGTCTGGCTCTGGGGTACAGATATGTACTCCACTGGTTTTTACCATATACTTCTCCTGTATTACCCATGTTAGATTCTTCTGTTTATCTGAAATCACAACTATTAATTGAGGAAGCAATCACTTTGACTAAAAGTCTCATTTTACTATTGAAATTTTCGACCTTTTATTCTCAAAAGTTTTTGGCACTTCGGATTACGTGAGCTCAACAAAGAAGATATCAGAAATCGTTAGCAATCTCGTATACCAAGTATGAGGACGAAGTATACACAAGGCTCTCAACACTGTTCATACTACGCCAGGTATTTTCCAAAGATTCAGAGAGTCTTTGTGGCGTAGAACACGGGCTTGTGTTGAATCCCGAGGTGGTCACTTTCAACATCTTTAGGTTAGATGTTATAGCATCTATTCAGCATTATTTTTTGTTTCAATGTTATGTCCTCATAAATTTAGAAACAACCACATAAGCAGTATCAAATATAATTTTTGTATTCGCGTTTAATTCTGAATAGATTTATTTATTTTTGAAATAAACGTTTTCATTGTTTTGAAGTTGCTTTATCTATAAACAAAAATTAATATGCCGGTAAAACCAGTGGGTTGCACAGGAGGTTTAATGAATGGTCAGCTTCTACGCTACTGATTGAGGAGAAGACACGTCTATTATTCAATTAATGTTGTAGTGCCAAAGCTATCTTCACATGCCATATAATGTTTTTCAATATCGAGCTTCACCGTGTTATCAGAAAAGGAGAGGCTAAACTCTTCCTTATGAATATTTTAGAATTTAACTTCAAATATTCAAACTTAAATATCTCCAAAACGAGTGATCAGATAAAAAATTGCTTAACCCTTCCACGACGGGAGCCGTTTATATTCGCAAAAAAACGCAGTGTCTGGTATTCGGGAAACGTATATTTGCGCAGCGTCAGAGGTCCCGGTTAACTACGGGAAACGTGTTGACCAGCATATGTCGGTATTTGTTTGTACCAAATACTATGCATACAAGCGAAAATTTTCGGTGGTGGGGAAACAGGCATGCAGAGAATTGTCGCACAAGTGGCACCGTCAAGACAGGTTGAAGCACGTTTACTTGAGCATTATTCTTCGAACGCGAGTACTCATACTTTAGTTATTTTACGTTATATTTATCTTCGAAATGTCTCATAGCAAGTTAACAGATCAGGACTTGTTAGAAATATCACAGAATAGCGATTCAGAGGGCGATTTCGATGGCGACGCCGAGGAATGGGAAAATATCCGACCAAGAAGATCAAAACGATTGTTGAACAAACTAATACTGGGTGATTCACAAGTCGTGACTAAAAATGAAATATACACAGGACCGCATTTTAAGGGGGTCTTCTATGTAACATTTTTTCCTCGAGGGCTTCATTAAAATGATACGGGGTGTTGAAGTTTAAAAATAAAAGACAACAATTTTTTTTAATACCCTTAAAACCGTGAACTGGAATGAGCTAAAATTTGGTATGTGGATTTACCTAAGTATTGTCCACATTCAAAAGTCTACTCAAAATTAACGTGCACCAGCGGCGGAGATACAGGGGATTAGTGGCATTATTTTTCCAAATAAAAATAGTACGCCACTTTTTTTTCGCGCAATTTTTCGAATTTATCTCCAATTTGCTATAAATAATTACTCTTGTTTTCGTAAAAATAAAACAAATTAGATCATTCATGAAGAGCCGAGATACAATTAGTTTCAAAATAAAATAGGAGACCTTGATACCAAATTGACGTTTCTTGGGAGATTGTTTGTCAAAGTTATGTGTTATACGGTTGTTATCGTTACTACCTACTAAATTTATTTTTTTGTAAAAGTCAAGTCAAAAGTTTCTTTATTTCTTTTTATCATTTTTGAGTGTTGTGAGGTGGAATTTAGCAATGATGAGTACGCCGATATTATTTCTGTGTACGGGTTCTGTGATGGTAATGCTTTAGCGGCTTTTCGGGATTATCAACGTAGATTTCCTAACAGACGCCAACCTACCCCAAAGTACAAGTACTAGGCGGATTGCAGCCCAGTTACCATGTTCCCAAAGTCTCACATGGATAATTTTAAGTCGGGAAGCTTTACATTCTTACCATCGGCAAAATGTGCAATGTCTGCATTTTAAACGTTCCATTTGCAGTTGTATATTCAGATTTTTTACTTACGTTATGTTTTTGTTATATACATAAATACTCGTATATGTATGTATTTGTCTTTGGAAATTAAAATATTATTTTGTAAATTATCGCTATTTCATTAAAGAAGGTAATAAAAAATACAAAGACGTAGTCATTCCTAACGGGAAGCGGATAGATCAGCGCGACATAAAATGTTGATTTGGAACGGGAAGCGGATAAATCAGCAAGCGGCGTTTTCCACGTAAAGACAGGCAGATTTCGTAACAAGTCCTCCGTTGCGAAAGGATTAAGAGGCAAGATGGTATTTTATAAAATGCACTTTTTTATTTCCTATTAAGGGTCCAGGTACCCTAATTTCTACGTCCTTGGTTAGTTCGTGCCGGGAAACTCTGTATGTTTATTTCTGATTCACTGAACGCCCTACCTCAGTATATTTACCCGTTTGGTACATATACATATATTTCTTTTAATTTCGTAAATAACCCTGTATCTCGGTAGGGGAGCATCTTTGGACCCGTATTTATAGGGTCTTTTTATTTTTGGATGGATAAACT